GCGGGTCAACAGGTATAAAGCATAAAAAAAATGAAAATGTAAAATATATCACATTTTAAGTTTCTTGCTAATCATGGATGATAGATAGAGAATACTCAGATTGGCTTCTAACATTAACTGTCAAAAATAATAACAAATCTAATAATAACAAGAAGAACAAGCTTAAGTATATAATAACAAATCTAGACACAACACCAGTATACATTCCAAACATCATGCTTGTCCTTAAAAATAAACATAGACACAAAAGATAGAGAAATTTCAAATGTAACAGTTATGTAAAAGCTAAGCCAAATCCTCTACATCAGTCGACCTAAATAACTCAACTACAAAAGCCATTAAGCCAAATCCCAACTGATTGCAAAACATTTGCATTTCACAAAGCATTCACAATTCTGTAATTCACATCACTACATCAGTATATAACTATATATATTTGACAGCTGATGACCAATAGCCCAATATCATTTTTCAATCCCAAATGCAAAATTTAAAAAAAACGAAAAAGAAAGGAAGAAAGCTGAAAAACTAAACAGAGGAAGGTTTAGTGGTTTACCTTCATTTACAAGCTTGTCGGCGTCTGGGTTCACCATGTCGGCGTCGGCATTGGGGTTCACCATTTCTAGCCTTTAGGGTTGGCGTATAACTCACAAGAGAGAAATTTCAAATTTAAGTTGGAATTTTGGAGAATCGAAAAAGGATTGGGGATTAGGAATTTTCAGATTAGGGTTAGGGTGGGCTGAAATTTAAAGAGCAAAGAGGGAAAATGAAGAAGCCACCATGAGTCTGTGACTGTCTGTCGGGAGGCTCGCCGGCGTCAATCGGCGGTGAGAAGTGGAGAGAGAGTTCGGTGGGAGAAAAATTCAAAGAGAGGAAGAGGGGAGGCGTCGAGGGAAATGTGAGAGAAAATGAAACTGAAGAAGGTTAATTTTTTTAAGGGTTTATATATTTTTGGTTTTAAATATTTAAAAACATATATAATATATTATATATATAATATATATAAAATCATATAATCGGGTTCTCAGTCTAGGTCGGTTCCCAGAATTTGGAACCAACTTAGGACTGAGACACCGATTAATTTTTTGGTTTTCACCGATAAACCCGAAATAACCGTTTGATCATACCCAAATGATCCAAAACCGAAAAAATGCTCGGTTCTTTCGGTCTGGGTCGGGTTTGGACACCCCTACTATCTGCTCTTTGAATCAGAGATGAAAGAAGAATAAAGTTGAAACGTTAAATCAATTAAAATAGAATTTTTAAAGATCTAAATAACATAAAGAAGAAAAGTATTAGGGTCATTTGTTAAAGAATCCAACTAAGAAAATGGCTGGTGGAGATTGTGACCCACCAAATTCCATAAATCCTAAGTTCCAAAAATACCCTTAGTTGTTAACCCAAAAAAAAAACAATTTTGAAATGATGAAACAACCAACTAAATAGTACCCAAATGAATGAGTTAAAATCTTTAGATCCTTTTTTTGTCATTTCACTTCTTCCTTTTATTTTTTTATTTTTATTTTTATTTTTAATTGCTTTTTTATAATTTTAGCACATGTTATATGAGGAACGGTAATTTTTATGCATTGGTGAATTCTGAATCTCACCATTCACCAATATATATACCTTGTTTGTTTGAACAAAAAAAAGTACCTTGTTTGCATTTCTTCTTCATATGCTTGGAGAGTATCTTTTCTATGGGGCTTTAAGCTACATATCTTAGGATTATTGTTTTCTCTCATCCATGTAACAAAAAAGTGGGATGAAAAAAGGTAGAGGAATGAAGCTATCAATCCCATTCCCAATCCCACCCATGACCCATAGACCATAGTACATTTTCACCATATAGCCATAAGTTTCACTAGACAAACAGAACCTCATTTAAACAAGGTAATATCAATCGAATTCAATTACTTAACCATACATAACTGCAAAATGTTTGACCGCGAAATTGAACTATATAGACTCCATACTTGTGTCCCGCTTTCAATCCATTCAACAAATAGTATCATATGTGTTTTTTTTTTTAATTATTATTTATGTTAGACAATTTACTTCCGTATTCAAATTTCAAACAAGAAAAAATAAGGCCAAAATGTTGACAACCAGAAACGAAATTCCATAGATAAAAGTGTACTTAGGTGGTGAGATTTCTTCAAAAAAACAGTTGGGGCTTAAGAATTGTCACAAACAGAAGAAGAAAGAGAGAGAAGGCTCGAGCCCCTAAGCCCCTCCCTCAATTCCTTTCTTGACTTACACTACTGTATGTAAACAAATTAATGGCAGCAAGAAGCTAAGGGGTCCCAACTTAACTTCCAAACCCAAAAACGAAACAAGAGAGAAGAGAATATATATTACAAGGGGCAAATCGGCATTAAGTTGCTGCTGCCAAAATTCTTACTTAGACGGCGATGGATGCAATGCAGGGATTCCTCTGTAGCAGAGCGTTGGATCGATCGACCAACTTGCATGCATATGCGTTTGCAGGGGCTCAAGGCGGGGACCCTCTACTATTTTGCTTAGGATATGTTAATGTCAAAAATGACAAAACTTTCCCTGGTCTTGCCCTTATCATCCTTCTTCAACCATGCATTCTTCGCATTTTTAACCATTTTCAATTTCTACGTACTGTACCCTTTTCTGATCTTATATCATTCAATTCATTACAGTTTTTGTACTGTTTTCACTGCAACATCAACGTGTGTGTGTGTATATATATATCTATATCTATATCTATATCTATATATAATCAGAGCCCCGAGGAGACAACTAAGTGGTTAAAATTAAAACTTGGGATTTCTTATAGGTGATCCCCAGTTATAATCGTACAATATCTGCGATGAGTAATTATGGGAAAGCAAAGGGTTAGCCGGTTAGTTGTATAGCCCATTTAACTATCATCTATCAAAAAATCATACCGGCCATGCATCTTTTAGATGACTAGTTATAAATTTCAATTGATCATCTAATATATACCCTATAATTTTTTGACATCATATATACGCTATAATTTACGTATAGTTTTATACAAAATCAAAGTGAATATGGATATAACATATGTATCTGAAATTCTCTCGATTTTGTCCATAAAAATATTTCACAAATATTGTATCTCATAGTGAGTCCTCATAAATCTTCATGTGTGACCGGCCGCTTCAAACTATATAAAAAAGGTTGAACTTTTCTATTGTGCATGCAAAATAAAAAAGAAAAGGGTTAAACTTTGTATAAGTTGCAAAACCTAATGATTCCATCTATATTAAGTATTAACCAAGAGATAGCATGGTCCCCTGCCAGTTCATTCAGTTTATATTCAATTTAACCAAAGTACTGTTTGGCCGGCCAGTACAAATCAAAACTATCATTATTCATAGATTTTTGATTGATTGAACTTCTTCATGCCTTATATATATGCAACTTATTGGATCTTATAATTTTCACCCTTAACAAGTCTCTTTTTCACCAAACTTTGGGAATTCATTCTTACTCATTATAATCTCAAAGAGTGCTGAAAACATACAAAATTTTTATCTTATAATAATGTGCAATTTTTGCACAATACATTCACCTACTCATCCCTCTTCGGATTCGGTATCATTAGCATAATCCTTTAATTAATTATTCTTTTTAACCTTTACTTTGTCGGTAAATCCCCGTGTACCTTTTGAAGTCTAGGATGATTTTATTACTATCACAATTAATCATCAAGATCAAGCATAAACTATTCATTTATTTGTATTGTTTCAAGTACCATCACATGAACCTAAATCACTTTATAAATATAGGTCCAACTATTGGATGTGATCATATGCTTAAATTTCTATTATTTTCGGGATTAATGCGACTAATAAATTAACCCAACATCTGGAGAACATCATTGCGATATACCCTTGCAGGTAAGAAAATTACTAGTCATTGGGAAAAACTCTAACAAAAGTACACACCTTTTTAATATAATACTAATTAAATCGACGTATGAATGATAGCATGAATTAATTTTTCTCTCATCTAATTCGCGTCAAAGGGGAAGGGAGATTCGATGCTTGAAAAACAATTCAAATAATATAATGCTAATTAATTAAAGAAGTTACAAATTAAAGTTGGAAGGGCGGCAATGAAATGGATCATGGGGGCTATAGGGTTTTAGGTCTTTTTTTGATTTGAGGTATGTCGAGCATGCAACCCATAAATTCATTTCAATCAATCAATTAATATCAAAGAGTGAATTTATTTAACAAATTATATGCATTATTTATCAATTATAATTATTAACCATAAGCCATTATTATGTGTATATATACATGTAGTTGTTTGGTCAAACAATTAAATCCATTACCTCAGGAAAAAAAAAAACAATTAAATCCACACCGACCAAATTTCAGTTGATTATTTTACGATCATAAGTGTAATATTTCCTTTAATGAATGGGTTGACTCATGACTAATATTCAACAATCAATACACTTAGCTAGACAAAATGCATTTTCCTTTTTTTGTCGCTAATCATCTATTGGTCAAAACACGTTTTAAGTTGGAGCCCGGATGGCACGATGTATATACAGCATGCAAGTTGCGTTCCATGCGAGAAAATGAGCAATTATACCAACTGATGAACTCATGCACTCGCTGCATCATATATTTGTTTTGCTGATTTTATACTTAAAAATGTAATATAAATGTACTTATAGACATTATTAAGATATATATAAGTATATAACTATATTATAAATTCTGCATTGGAATATTTTACCTTTTATATGATGAATGAATGTCTAGTTTTTAAAATTAAAGAGTGTTTTTTTTTTCACCTAAAGATTGCTTACCAGTGACCAGGAATATTATATAGCAGATATTGAGTGATAAGTGCGTGATAACAAGTGGTGGTGGATTAGACTTTGAGAATTGGTGTTGTTTGAAATTTTGATTTTTTTTTTCTCTCAAAGAGAAGCTATGGAGACTAATATGCTATTTTTTTTTCGGTACATAATGAGACAGCAACTAGTTCCTCACAATCAGAGGCCCTTTAAAGTCCTGCTCCAATAGTGAGCCAATGCCATGAGGGGGATCCAAGAAGATGGAAGTCCCCAACTGGCCAGAATAACCAAATTGGCCAAGAAATCCGTACTTCGGTTTCCTTCCCTGAAGACATGCCGAACCTCATGAACCTACCCCTCCTCAATTAAAGTCATCACATCACGGACTAGAATCGAATAAGGATGAGACTCCACAACACCATGCTTCAACAAGTGAATAACCATAGAGGCATCCAACTCTACAATCAACGGCCAAAGCTGTTTTTGTTTGGCCAACATAAGTCCCTCACGAAGACCCCAAAACTCAGCCATAAGGCTTCAGTGCAACCTATATTGGCAGAGAAACCCACTAGCCAGTTACCCATTGACGCTCTAATCAATCCACTGGCCGAAACTAAACCAGTAGAAACCTTACAAGTGCCATCAATAGTAAGCTTGAAAAACTCATCTTGAGGAGGTTCCCATTTCACAAGAGTACCACGACTACTAGCAACCGACTTAGATCTCAAAACCAGACCCTACCTCTCTAGCCAATTTACGAGCTATGAACCAAACTCTTGAAGGATTATCCTGAGACTGCTGGAAAATCAAAGTATTCCTGCTCTTCCAAATTAACCACACTGTCATAGCAAATTGAGAAGACCAGGGAACATAATCACAAATAATCTCACTCAACCAATCACTCAAATTGGCAGTAAAAAAGTTGGAAAGGTCCAAACCAACACCTTGCCAACAACGCCAAACATCTACAGCAAAATACAGTCCCGAAAAAAGGTGCAACGCAGATTCATCCAAAGATTGACATCGAGGGCAAACTGCACTACTACTCATGCCTCTCTTGACTCGCATGACATTAATATTGAATTTATCAAAATACAAAAGCCACAAGAACAAACGTACCCGCTCAATAGAAGGCACCTTCCATATCCAAGCGAAATTAACTCCCTAAAGAGATCGCTCTGCCACTAGCAATTCATAAGCCGATCTAGATGAAAACAATCCTGAGCTCTCACCTGTCCAATACCGCACATCGCATCGCTGTCTCAATTTAGGAAGAGGGATTGCCATAATTTCTCTAATTTTACCCCAAGGAAGCAAGTTTGCGAGGGACTGCAGATGCCACCATCCACCTGGATCAATAAAATCAGCAACAAGTAGGGCCGTATCAACGTTATCAACAATGGCGAAATACAACAACGGACTCTCTCCCACCCACCAGTCCAGCCAGAAGTTTACATTCAGGCCATCACCAACTAGCCATTTGCGACCAAAACCTCCTGAAACCTTGAATTAAACAAGTACTTGTCTCGAAGTAAATTACAAACTAAAGATTGATGACCAGTTTCCAATTGCCAACCAACCTTAGCAAGAAGTAATAAATTTGACTCCCTAACAGCCCTTACGCCTAGTCCTCCACTAGATTTTGGTAAGCTCACTTGACTCCAACGCACCAAATGACCATGAGAACTGTTCTCATCTCCACCCCAAATAAAGTTCCTTGTAATCCAATCAATCCAATTACAAATACTAATTGGAAGAAAAATTGTTTGCATTGTGTAAACTGGAATTGCATTGAGCACAGACTGAGCTAAAGTACGCCTCCCAGCTCGGGAAAGCAAATTACGTTTCCAACCAGTTAATTTGCCTCTTATCTTATCCACCACAGATAAATACAAATACCTGGAAGATCTACCATGAACCACCGGAACACCCAAATAACGCCCCAAATCTCGAGTTAAAGGAATGCCACAAACTTGACTCATCCTCGAAGCAACCCGGGAAACCACATTAGGAGAAATAAAAAGCTTCGACTTTGACAAGCTCATAGAAAGACCTGAGGCCGAAGCAAACTCCCTTAAAAACTCCATAACCACACCTAATTGGTTCTCATCTGCCTGAGCAAACAGCATTAAGTCATCTGCGAAGAATAAATGCGAGAGACTAGGGCCTCTACGACCAATCTTAACAGGCTTCCACTGCTTACGATGAACTCGATCCTGAATAATTTGAGCCAACTACTCCATACATAATATAAATAAGAATGGAGACAAAGGATCGCCTTGCCGTAAACCCCTTTGAGCATTAAAATAAGGCTAAGCTTCCCCATTCCAAATAGCTGAAGTTTGATTAGTCGTAACACAAAACATTATCAAACGGATCAATTGAGGAGGAAATTAAAATCAATTAGAACTTGCCTAAGAAATTCCCAATCCATGCTATCATAGGCTTTATGTAAATCAATTTTCAACACCATACCACCCTTACGCCCTTTCCTTCTCATTAAAGAATGAACAACCTCCTGCATTGCAATTATATTATCTGTAGTGCCCCTCTCGGGTAAAAAACTACTATGCCATGGACCAACCAGCTTTTGCAACAATGGTCTAAGTCGACTAACCAACAACTTAGATAACACTTTATAAGTTGTATTGAGAAGACTAATAGGCCGAAAATCAACCATAGTTTGAGGATTCTTACATTTTGGGATCAAAGTCATTAAAGCTTTGGCAAGATCAAGCGGAAAAAAACCCTCACTCAAAGCTTGATTCACAAAGAGTAATAGTTTCTCCCTCACAATAAGCCACTCCCTTTGAAAAAACAATGGCTGCATACCATCAGGACCGGGGGCTTTAAGGCCCTTCATCGAAAAGATTGAACGAACCTCAACTAAAGAGAACAGAGCAACTAAACCATCCCTTTCATCCCAAAAAAAAAAAAAAAAAGCAACGCTTGCCACCGGTGGTACGAATTAACCATAGCTACAGATTCTCTAAAAGAAAATAGATTAGCATAAAATTGCAGTGCATAAGCCTTGAGCACCTCATCATCCGTCACCCACACGTCATTCACCTTAAGTCCAACTATCTTGTTGCGGGACCCCCGCATCAAAGTAGATAAATGATAAAATCTAGTATTTCGATCCCCATCCCTAACCCACTGCTTCCGAGACTTCTGATACCATAGAAGTTCCTCCTGATACAAAACTTCCCGATACTCCCGTTGCAACTCCACCTCAAGCTCTTCTAGAAAGGAAGAACAACCATAAGCCTGACTATTCTGAATCCCATTAATCCTGGCCACCAACTCAGGCTTCCTTTTAAAAATATCGCCAAATGAATCCACACTCCAGCGTTTAACATCCTCAATCATTGCAATGATAGATCCCAAAATATCCAACCCCCGTAACCAGCTAGCTTCGAAGCAACTATCGAACTCCTCGTGAGTCAACCAAGCAACCTGAAACCGGAAAGGACGTTTATCCTTAGGAGGAGGAGATGTCATATCTGAATTATACAGGATCGGATGATGATCCGAACTTAAACAAGGCAAATTTAAAACCCGAGCTTTAGGAAATAATAACTTGGCTTCAGAGTTAACTAAAGCTCTGTCCAAACGTTCCCTCAAAACAACCCTGCCATTCTCCCTACGATTCCAAATGAACCTCGACTAACTCGAACCAAGATCAAATAAACCACAAGCCTCAAAACGATCAACAAACAAATGAGCTCTGTTAACACAAAACCGAGCTCCTCCATTCTTTTCATCCAACGAAGCAATGTCATTAAAATCACCAACAACCATCCAAGCAGAATTAATACTAAGTGCTAACTGCTGTAGATCCGTCCAAAATTTCTCCTTCAGAGAACAATGAGGCCTAACATAAGCACCCGTTAAAAACCAAGACAACGACTGATCCAAAAGAATTTTTGTATGAATAAACTGCGAGTCAAGATGTTGTACAGACAAATTCACCTTCTGATTGTCCCAAAAAAGAAATATTCCACCCGCCAAACCAGTAGACTCCACCATTGCAAAATCCGAAAATCCCAATCTCAACACATACTTCTTAGCAACTTCCCTATCACGACACTTCGTTTCCAACAAAAATAAAACATCAGGAGAGTAAAGTTTAACCAACTCCCTACAGTTTCTCAAACACTTACTCCCAACAATACCTCTACAATTCCATGATAACACTTTCACCATTAAAATAATTTTAAGAGGACCCTTGATCAGCAAGAGCAGCAGTAGACCTTGTCCCAACATGGGCTGATTTCAAATACTCACTAAAACCAAAGGAAACAGCAGCACCAGACAAACTACTACTAAGCAATTCCTCAGGACGTGCCAAATGATTTGCAACATCTAGAGGATTCAAGCCCTCAAGTGTCTTAGACACGGCTTTCGCACCCCCTTTATCCTTCACAACCTTACCAGAAGCAACGGTGTTTTTTAGCCCCCACCGAAGGGCCTTTGGCCGGCGTACTCTCTTTGATCTTCGGCCCTCCTACCTTGAAAGAAGAAGTCTTCCTTGGATGCAACCCTTAGCTCTTTCCAAAACCATCTTTGGGCTTGCCCAAGATAACATTCCCACTACCTTTCAGTAATCCCCTACCAACAGGTTAATCCTCCCCACCTAAGCTAACAAGCCCATCCTCAAGCAGCCCATTATTTGAAACTGGCCCAACCTCACTCGGCCCATCATTTGAACCCAACACCTTCACACTCTTGTCCGAATCCGACTCAACTACCATATTCAAGGAGTTCTCAACAACAGACTTTCCTCTCACAAATTTATCTAACTCAACTGCACGAGCAGAATCCCCAGCAACATGGCCATCAAATTTTGAATTCTCAACAACCTGCTCAACTTATCAATTTCCTCCATAACAACCTTAGCCTTCCCTATCAACTTTCTATGCCGCAAAACATTATCCCCAGCAACAACACCCTGAGACCATGTCGCAACCTCCGCTTCCCTATCCTCACCCGCATCCATCGACGCATCACCATCCTCATAGAGAACATTGAATCTATTCGTAGAGGGCCCATCACCGCCGTTAACAGCAGTTTTACCCCCTTATTAGCTGGATTCCAGTGAGGTTTCCGCTGAACCAGCATCCATGGACCAAACTTCTCCACTGGAGTTACTCACGGCTTCCTCGTAAACCAATCCTTTGCCGTCTATTGGATAGGGAAGAGCTTTGGACAATTGTCTTTAGGATGGCCAACAACACCACATTCAAAACAAACCGTATGAATTGCCTCATATTCAATCACTTGCACGAGGTCACCAATATGAACTTTCGACACCAGGGGCTTCCGAAGGTCAATATTGGCACAGACACAAGCAAACTTCCCACGAGTCGCCAGGCTCATATTATAGCATCCAACTTAATAGTCTTACCAATAGAATCTCCAACTTGAATAAGCAACTTCTCTTGGAAAAACTCAATTGGCAACTTGGGCAGCCGAATCCAAACAGGAGTTAAACCAAAAGAATCCATAGAAGGCCGAAACTTAGGCTTCCACCTTTGTATCAAGAGGTAATGGTCTAAAACCTTCCAAGGACCATTACACAAGACCTTACTAAGTCCTCCTTCATGGAAAATTTAGCCACATAACAACCTAAACCCAAGTCGACAAAGTCAACCTCCCCCAAAGGGTTCCAAATTTTCATTAACCTCGTACGCAGGAAAGGAAAAACAATAGCTTTACCCAGGACCTTAAAGATCAGGGAATTTCTCCAGGGCTTATGGAGCTCCTTCTTCAACTCTCGATCAACCGAAACGAACGGAATAGACTCGTCGATGTCCTCATCCTGCATCTATGAATCCGAACAATCAGAATCATCGTCCTCCAAAACCATTGTGTCTAACACAGTAATCTCACGATTGTTTACCGACCCTTCCTTCAATAACTTATCTCGAAAAGTACCCTGACTTGATGCCCGAGCCGCCCCTTGCAAACCTACCGGTGTTTCCTGAACAACACTCGTCGAACCCCCCACCTGATCAACCTTATTAGTACTCCGATCAAGATGATCTTCCTCTTCCGCCGCTAAGCCCTTCTCCACCACCATCGCATCCATCTTAAGACTAATATATGCTAATTAAAACTTGGGAATAGTAAAGAAATTGATCATAAGTAAATGGTAAAAATTCGGTATCTACAATCAATTTTATATATATATATATATATATATGTCCCATAAATTAATTTGTTAGAATATTCAATCCCTAGAATCATCCATTTCAAAGTCCATATATATACTTTTCCGTTATATATCAAAGATTATTATTAAATAAAGTATAGTACTATATACAATATATACTACTAGTACTATATATATATTCAATTCCATTAATTAAATTGCTGAACTTTTAGAGCTAGTTTGCAATTGAGATTGATTCTACAAAAGCAGCTTTTGATCATAAACTCGATGATCAGAGTTTTTCTATGGTCTTAAGTATAATAAGCATACTTTTATTTATTAAATACAAACCTTTTTTTTTTATTATATATATATATATATAGAGAGAGAGAGAGAGAGAGAGAGCAGATTTGCCTTACTCTTTAAATGATTTGAAACATTTTGAATCTTATATATTAAAATAATTAAAATTCAAATTAATTTAAGTAGATTGCTTTTCATAGATATATATATAACAATAATTAGATTGAGGCATTCATTAAGTACTAAAAACTTTATTTTATTTTCTCCTCTTCATTCTTCAATCCTAAGGGTAATTTATAAGTGCAAGCAAAGGAGAAAGCACATGGAAAGATCATAGTCATCATATATGTATATAGCAGCAGCAATCTGGGCTCCAACTAATTAGTATATATTCCTTGAAGAGATACTTTATAAATTCTGCTTTTATACCCTAGATTTTCTCTTCTCTAATTTAATCATAAAGTCCATACATCATGGTTTGAAAAATGTTATTCACCCCTCCAATTTGTATGTTCACTTTTGTGCCTCTGACAATAAATCAAATTACAAATTTGTACGTAAGAACACAATTACAATTTACATTGTCAATTTTACTAATTAATTTAAAACATTGATTGCTTGTCAAAAAAAATTAAACATTGATAGGATTTATATAGTTTAAAACATATTGTGATCGTATACTATTGCAGAAGCAAAGGGCCTTTGTTTGTTCTTTCAACAATGCTGCTTTCAACATGTTACTCGTAATTGCAATTTAATTGTTCATGAGTTTGCTCAATATGATTTGTCATTAAGTGAAAAGATTGTATGGATAGAGGTCATACCATGTTGATTACATGATTCTTTAATTACAAATTGATGGTACTATTTCTTTATCTTAATGAATTGAGCTGTTTTTTTAACTTAACGTACAAATTGGAGAGAGTATTGTACTTGGCTTTGGCTTTGAGGTGAGTAGATATTTAATTAAAGTTCCTTTAGATATATTCCCGCCCCGCGTATCTAAAAACATTGACCCATGTTCATATTCAAACTCCTAAACCTTGTCTCTTTGGTGTCTCTTGGGCTTTGGACAACCTCATGCTATGTAATTTCTCGGAAGGAATCCGGAGATTAGACTTTTTCTATATATGCCTACGTACCAAACTTTTGCATTAAATTACCAACATGAAAAATACGAATAATAACTTATAAAATACTAAAATCCTAAAGGGAGAGAGAGTTTTAAGCAATTTCGTTGTTCATATTGAGAAACCTAGATGTTCTAAAATATACATATTAATTTGAGATCAATAACCTAACTCTATATATATTAATGGCATGCATTGCCATTCATTTTTTTTTATAATCCCGTATTCGGTAGTCACATTGAGTCTCAATTAATCTGGATTCAAGTTGCGTCCGATCCTGACCAATTGGGAGAAACTCTCCCGGCGTTTATTTTCTCAATTCATAAGACTCGAATTCGAAATCTTATTTAAGGGGTATTGAACTCGACGTTAGTTGCCATTATCTCTTTGAGTACGTAAAAATAAAGATGTTGCAAAATAATGCACCATATTAATAATAAAATTTTCCTGAACATTAAGCATCATCTCTTTGATCGATTATATATACATATATCAAATAGAAAAAAAAAACAAAAAAAAAATCACAGATGTTAATCTCATCATATTTCATCTTCAACCAAGGAATTTAATTAAAATCTGATCCGGGACGAAGTTTGAATCTTAGAATGAGATAGTGTAATAAAAAAGAGTGAATTATATAGCTAGCTTCGGATAAGGCTAGCCCTTGATCATCTATATATATTATTATACAATAATAATGTTGTATATATATAGTACTATACTATCTATATCTAAAAACAACCAAATACATTGATGATTCGATATTTCTCTTAAATGAATTGCAATAAGTACGTAGCAACAGATAGGTGTGGTTTTGTTTCGAACAGCTATGGCCAAATTAGCCATAGCGTACGTCAACTTATCTGCCACGAACCCACTCAGTTCCTTCGTCATCCAAGTCGGTACATTATACATAGAAAAACAAAATTTATTAAACACCCCAAAAAAGAATAAGGAAAGGTTACAGTTTGACACATTGATGAAAGATATAGTAATGTTTATAGTCATGATTTTTTTTTTTTAATGATGATCAGGGGAGCAATTAAAATTCTGATGAAAATACAGTTGACGCCGCATATTTTCACCCAACCTCTCCAACTTCCTTGTTCAATGTTCATCTCTCTCTCAAGTAAATTCATTTGATTGGGGTTGAAATTATTGTTTTACTGCAACCATATTATACTAGCACGTGTTATCTACTTCTATAGCCCAAAAATGGGTGGCTGCACTACATGTGGGAATATTTTATCAATCAATATCTTAGCAAAAAAAAAAATTTTATCAATCAATAATATTAAGAAATACTATATACGTATAAACTTTTTTTATATAATTATTATATATTAAAATTAATATTGTTGATGCTAAAATATCAACAAATATTATCTTCATAGACCATCTTCTTAGCCTCCGAGACATTTCGGTTGAAGACCTGCAAGACAGTGGAACACTTAGGAATGAGGGGGTAGGTCACCACGTTAGCACTCCGACAGTCAAATCAGTGGAAATCTCCGAGAGAGTTGAGAGAATTTAGCTAGGTCTAGGGATTTGAAATATGCAATAAATGAGGGATGTTACCATATTAATTTATATAGTGGTGTCCATACAACTTAGTGTAGTCCTCACACGTGAGAGGGATGCCACCTCATAGTGTACGGACAACCTAAGAGTGCAAAGTCTGACTTGGTCAACGGTCAATTTGTCGGGTGGTATGGACTATGCTCTAATCATCAATGTGAAGATTAGAAGTACTCAACAATTATTAGTATTATATATTAAAAATAAAAACACATTTCGATTTCTTGAATAAACTAAGAATCTGAAGAAAAAAAAAAAAAAAATCTAAGAATCACACAAACATGAAAACCCTCCTTTACTAGTAATTGACTAATTTTTGTTTCTACATGTTGTGCGTTAAATTCACCCTTGAGATAGTGTTTATACCATGATTTATACCCAGGGTAATCATGTAATTACTCATAATGGATGGCCAAGATTCAATCTCTTAAGCCCTATGGATGGTTGGATTTAATCTACCCTAGGCTAAATTCAACTAGGAAATTAGTTGAATTTTGATATTATTTCTTTAAATTAATTATGGAAATTATGAAAATTAAGCAAATTATATAATTTTCACTTAGAGAGATATTTGTGCCACCCCATTTACTATACAAATTGGGTCAGGCCGGCCCATGCCTCTAAATTTGGATTCAAGCCTTCCCGGGTTAAACTTTTTACAAGTTTTCAATTAAGGACAAGGGAATTAGGGCTTTGAAATCGAAGATGAATATGGACGAATTTAGGGTTATGTCCTTTATTAAAGTTGTTCAGAATATCATGAATAACATTCTGTCAAAATTTCAGCTCATTCCGAGCTTGGAAGTAATTTTGCATTTTTTGCAATTAAGGACAGAATCCAATCCCGGGACAATTTTTGCATGGAGATTTCACCATTGGCATAAAATCTTTGTTTTTCATGCAATATAAATGCTATATGGAGAAATTGAGCCATGTTTGACCATTTTCATAACTTTTCACTTTCATTCAATTAAGGACAGTATGGCTATTTGACCTCGGTTTAAGCCATTGACTTAGTTGATTTTTCATGATTTTGATATATGATCTTAGTGACATGGTATTTAACACAATTCCATGTTCAATTGGCGAAGTGCGAAGTTCCATGGCATTTGAAGACAATTTCAGCACCATTTGGCCTCTCCGCACTTGGTTTTCCACCCCTGCTTACTGCACTAAGACTTTTAAGCCAATTAATTTCGAATTTCAGCAATTAAATGTGATAATTATCACATGGAAAATTCAAAAACGTGATAGGCTTCATCTTGGCTGACTTTGTGGAGATTCCCTTGATTTATGGGATTCAAATCAAAATTTAAATGCTGAAGATAATGCAGAATCAACAGGGGATCATTTCTGGCCGTCGGATTGCATCTAACCCTAGCAGGCCGCCCTCTATATAAAGGAAGCAGCCTCCAACGTTGAACCCATCTCCTCCAACAGCCAATCTCAGACTCCAACGTCAAAACAACTTCAAACAACTCTCCTGCAGAGAAAACAACAATCAAGCTTCGTGCTTTCAATCTTTCAAGCCCCTGGCTTTCAAATCTCTTTTGTAAATCAAGTTCTTCACTTGATAATCATTTTTATTATTTCAACCTTGTTTTTACAAGTTTCTCTTGTATTTACATGCTTGTTGCACTTGAAAATAACAAATCCTTGTTATTTCTTTCACTTGAATCAAGAAAATATCATTTTTTATAGCAGTCCTTTGTTTTCTGAGTCTGGAATCAATGATTTAAACACGTTTGTGTGACTTTGATTCAGGATCTACAACTCTTATCATTATTTTTATGTTGCTGCACTCAAAGCAAATCCCTCATTTTCACTGCACTATTTATTTAGTTTTTACAACAAAATGAATATTTACTTTCCTCGCATCCTATTATCAATTTCTGGACAAAATTGATTGGCACGCTCGGTACCCTT